TATAATTTTTTATGTTTAAAAAAGAAAAATTAAATTAATTAAATTTGATTTAAATCAGCAGATTAGAAAGCGCAGAACTATTTATAATACAAAAAAAGCAGATATGGTGTCCACATATAAATCTTGAAATAGATTGAAAAAAAATTTATGAATATTTGTTGTAACTTGCATTGTTGCCTTTGTTACAAGATTTTTTATTCTAACTTTTTTAACACTGTACTGAAAAGCTCATTAAAATCTAATTATATGTATATGTTTAAAAGACATATTTACTCGTTAAAACAAATAGACAAATAAATAAAATTATTGTGTGTAATTTGTGAATGTATGCAAATAATAATAAAAAATTTGAAATGAAGATTGAAAAATTTTACATAAAATTGTGTAAATAGTATAACGCGTAAATACCCGAATGATTAGTTTTGTGCGGATAATTTTGTACTGTGACAGTTTCGTAACGTTGCGAGTGTCACAGGAAGATGAACATTATCCACTCAACGTATTCCAAACTGCCACTTTACTCTCTATTTGAACGTAAAGCTACTTATATCATATACAGCCTTACTTATTTAACCTACATAGTCATATCAATCCTTTGAATCCCTAGAATATAATTCACTTTTACTTCTTAGTTGATCTGAACAAAAATTTTTGTGATGTCAAAAAAATCATTGTTGTGTTATTAATTAATATATTTATGTATTTTTACTTTATCATATAGTGATCAGAATTTGTACTGTCATTCGAATTCTTTATCAGTTCAATATCTTTTTATATTTATATTTATTAACTTTCTAATCTTTTCACTTTCTTATCAGCGATCTTAATACATGCTCGTGAGCGTATGCGTTACAATTAATATACAATAAAAAAAATGATTTGGATCTTTCATTGTGTTTTATTTCTTAATGAAAATTTTAATTCCGTTCTTAAATGCGTTATTCAGAAGACTACATATATTAAAAACGTACATATATTATATAAAAAGATTTAATTATAAAAGATAAAATTTATGAAAGAAATTATAAATATTAATAATGTTAATTTAATATTAATATTTAAATATTAATTAAATAATAATTTTATAAATAATAATTTTATTGGAAATCATATATTTTACCCCTTTACTTTTTCTTTTGCTTTCATCTATCTGTTCCAACTATTTATATACAGAAAGTAAATTAATATAAAAAACAATTATAAGATAAAAATACATTATTAATATTCGGATCATCGCAGACTTTGATTACAATTATACAATTGGGCGATGTATTATCAATCAATTTATTTATCACAGAATATGGAATACGATGCATTTAGATTTCAATAAATTAATCTTTTAAATATAATTAAAAATTGAAAAATGAGAAGAAGAAATGCACAAGTAATAACAAGGCTTTTTATTTCACAAACCATTCAGTTATATAAATGCGATTTTCAAAAATAAAAGAAAAGTGTAAAACAAAAATTACAGCCTTCTTTGAAAAATTCTTCTTTGAGAGTGTTACAATTCAGCGCTATCATCTCATCGTTTAGAAATGCTATCCATCGCTAAATCAAGAGGAACATTCATAAACGATATTACATCCAAAGAAATTAAGGAGTAATTATCATCAATATAAAATCCCGATAATTTATTAATCAATTGAAAGTTGTTATCCACGTGACTAGTTGGTATAGGAATGCTTATTAAGAGTCAAAACCAATGCGTAAAGTGGGCTATCGAAGCAAGAAACGAAAATGCGATCAGGTCTGGTGTAATTCGTAGATAAGTCGTTTCGCCATGTTCTTCTCCCACCGTCCATATATTTGCTTTGCTCTCCCTTCCTCAAGCATAATCGTTTGTTCGTTCAGTATTGCTTGATGGTATACGCGGTATAACTTCAATGTTAGCATTAGTGAGCTTACGCTTCGCAAGCACCGTACATTAATAGTGCTTTCTCAGTTCCCCACATCAAATGATTCGTATTTCGTAACTTTTTTCAATTTATAATTCTCTTTCTCTTTTTCCTTTTGTCTTCATCTTCTTCTTTCTTCTATTCTATCGTTTTTATTTATTCACTTAAATCTTATTTACTTTCCTATTTTTCATTTTCTTTGTATCTATTGTTCCGTGTTTTCATTTTTTTGTGAATACTGTAATATTTCGTTATAAATTCAGTGAAGCTTTTCAGTGAAGTCAAGAGTTTTATTCGTTTTAAAATAGAAATAAGGAAAAAAATGAAAAAAGTTTTTAAAAAAGACATGAGATCTATCGTTATAACTTTGTGCAGCAGTTTCCTATTTATATGCTACAACGGTAAGTAACGGAAATGTATCTAAACACTGAAGTTTTCCAATTTTTTTTCAGTTACGACTTTGAAACATATTGCGAGTTTTGGAAAGTAATTATTAATAATACTATCTGTAATATATGTGTGTGTGTGTGTGTGTGTGTGTGTGTGTGTGTGTGTCAATGACATTTTTAAAAATTATGAACTATTTTCATACTATTGTCTTAAAGACATAATCATATACCGAGTAATCCTATCTAACTAGAATATTTAGAATATCTTTTCTTTTTAATAATATAGAAAAATTTTTTTAGGAAAATGTAGGATTTGAAGCAATCTATATTTTAACTAGTAAAATACTTATTTCATGTTTAGATTTCAATATATATCTTTTATTTCTTATATCAATTGTTTACATGCATTAATACATGTAAACAACTGCATCTCTCGATGCAGTTTGGTTTTTTTTTTACAAAGGATTGCAATAGCTTATTAAGATATGTAAAGATTGTTAATTTAATAACTTTCTTTTATTTTATTCTGATGTAAAATATCTCGTGAAATTTTTTGATTTCTTGAAGTTTTTTGATAATCATATTTATTTCATTTTGATAATCAATCTTAATATTTCTATACCTTTGCAAATTAATAAGACCAATTTATTAATGTGGAGAAAAAAA